TAGGAACAAATCCTTTCAATGACCCTTCTGACCGGAGCCCGTGTCCCCTTGATCTACTTAGGCTTCTCTTAGCATTCACCGGACCCTTTCTGCTTTCAGTTGGTACAGACACAGGCTGCTGGGCATCAGCGTCTCCTGGTACCTCTGTTGTACCCAAGGTTCCAAGGCTGGTCGAGTTTCCTCTTAGAAGGAGGGGACAAAAATCACCTGAACTTTTTTGGGTCCCATTGGGTTGGAGGGGTACCCTGGCAGGCCCTGTCAGTTCGGCAGATCCACTCAAACTGCCATTAGAGAATTCATTGCCTCCTACAACTGAAAGTAGGCAGTGGCGGGTAGGGATGGGGTGGGGGATACCAAGACCACAGGGCTGAAACCATGTTACTAGGGCACTGTTTTTCTCCATCCTACCGTGTTGCCAGGGTCTTCTTGCATGGCCAGAGCCAACCAGGTAGTGGTCGGTACTCAGATAATGTTTGCTGAATGATGATGCAGTGAGTGAATGGCTGCTACCAGCAACAGACTGACATTCTCACAGTGTAGCCACTCCAGCTTAAAAGAGCCTCCAGTTGACTAGCATAAGGAGACTATGGAACTCTCATATGTACTGTTAAGAAGGTAAACGATTGCAGCTACTGTGAAAAAAAAAGTTTGGCAGTTGCATAGAAAGTTAAGCACACATTTACCATACAACACAGCAATTCCACTCCTAAGCTTCTACCCAAGAGAAATGAAAATAAATCCGCAAAGAGACTAGAACACGAGTGTCCATAGCAGCATTATTGATAATAGGCAAAAACTGAGAACAATCTGAATGTCCAACCACACTACGTACCTTTCTTTTCTTTTTTTTTTTTTCAGAGACAGAATCTCACTTTGTTGCCCTCAGTAGAGTGCTGTGCTGTCACAGCTCACAGCAACCCCCAGCTCTTGGGCTTAGCTGATTCTCTTGTCTCAGACCTCCCACATACTTTTCTTTTCTAATATATACAGCCTTCCATTCTACCCTATACACCATTACATTCCACCCTATATACTCTCCCATTTAACCCTAGACACCTTCCATTCTACACTAGCCACAGTTCCATTCCACCCTACACACACTCCCATTGTATGAAAGGCATCCTCACCTTTCATCCTACAAACTCTCCCATCGTCCCCTGTACACTCCCCATTCACTCATTCCTCCCTAGACTCCTTTGCATTCTACCCTGCATAACCGTGCTGCCACACTTTTCTTCTAATCTGTAACTTAAAATTTTTTTTAATCCTTGGTCTTGAGGCTGGACAAAGAAACTGAAGGTTCATATACTGAGTTATACACCAGAGGGGTCTTCAATATTTCTAACACTAGAGGATTTTCAAAGTAGTAAATCTGATTGGAAGGGGATGAAGGAGACTTAAAACTGTTGGCCTCTTATCAAACTGAAAAAATATCCATTGACCATATCAAAGAATTCAGGGACTTGGGGAGATTATTGGGGAGTTAAACTTTTCTCCTCTCCCTTTCCCCTTGGACTCAACACTGTCTTCAGGGAAGAGAGAACATTTGCTCACAACAATAGCTCATGTTTGTAAATTGCTATACAATTTAAGCACATTTTTATATGTATTGTCTTGGCATTTCTCTCTCTCTCTTTTTTTTTTTTTTTTTTTTTTGCAGTTTTTGACCAGGGCTGGGTTTGAACCCACCACCTCCAGCCTATGGAGCCGGCGCCCTACTCCTTTGAGCCACAGGCGCCACCTGGCATTTCTCAAATTTCAGGCCTCCCTAATCTGGCTGAATGATTTTCACTATATTTGTGGATCATCTGGACAGTTTAATTCCTTAGTTTTTTTTTCTTTAAATTAACTTTAACTCACTTTTTAAATGTTTCGATTTGTCCCAAACAGTAATATCTGTGAAACTGTGAATTCAGTGTGTTGGTTATATTGTTTCCTAAAACACAGCAGAATAAGTACAAACCTTTTTTTTTTTTTTTAATGTTCTTCATGTGTTACCTAAAATCATCTTATTTATCCACAGGGCTATGCAACACTACTCTTAGAAAAAAAATGAACAATTGATTGTTACTACAATCTGGTTCTATATTCTTAAACCAATTTTACAGAGGAAAAAAATAAGACCATTGGAGATTAACTGATTAAATATCACACAGATAGAAAGTATCAGAGCTAAAACTGGAAAGCGTACTTTCTGTTTCCAAACCCAGAACATATATATTTTTTTGCAGTTTTTGGCCAGGGCAGGGTTCGAACCCATCACCTCCTGTATATGGGGCTGGCATTCTACTCCTTGAGCCACAGGTGCAGCCCCAAAACCCAGGACATATTCTTACTTTTTGAAAGAATATTGTATCACCCCCTGTTCTCATCTCAGCTTTCCATACTGTATCTCCCACCTCCATGACTACCCAAACCTCAAGGTCTGGAAAGGTCTCCAGATGATTGGATTGCTACATTAAACAGTATTTTCTTGGTTCAGATCTTCTTTAACCTTTGTGCTTAATTTGACCCTGTTGAGCACTCCCAGGAATTCTTTATCCTAAGACTGAGCTTCTTTGTCTTCCTGATAGGTAAAAACTGAAGAAAGACTGGAGAAAGGATGGGATGGGATCAGAACACTTGGGACCAAAATGTAACAAAGATGGCACTGTTTATTTCTTTTTTCTTTTTTTTTTTTTTGAGACAGAGCCTCAAGCTGTCCCCCTGGCTAGAGTGCCGTGGCATTACAGCTCACAGCAACCTCCAACTCCTGGGCTCAAGCGAGTCTCCTGCCTCAGCCTCCCAAGTAGCTGGGACCACAGGCGCCCGTCACAACGCCCGGCTATTTTTTGGTTGCAGCCGTCATTGTTGTTTGGCGGGTCCGGTCTGGGGATTCAAACCCACCACCTTAGGTGTACGTGGCTGGCGCCTTAGCCGGTTGAGCTATAGGCGCCAAGCCAGTGGCACCGTTTATTATGGCACTTGGGTTCAAGTAGGCTCAGATCTAAAGGATGTTACCTCACTGTTGTTCCTATTAGGAGGTGGAATGATGATGGGCCAGGCACTGAGAGGATTGGCAGAGAGGAACTGAAAGTAAGTAAGCAGTGAAGGTGTTAAAATGCTTTAGTGACTGCAGGGGTCTGTTGCATGTTAAGAAGGCATGAGGCGGGTGGTGTTCATAGCTCAGTGGGTAGGGCCCCAGCCACATACACTGGGGCTGGCGGTTCAAACTGGGCCCGAGCCTACTAAAAACAATGACAACTGCAACAACAACAAAAAAATAAATGAGCGTTGTGGCAGGCGCCTGTGGTCTCAGCTGCTTCGGAGGCTAAAGCAAGAGAATCGCGTAAGCTCAAGAGTTTGAGGTTGCTGTGAGCTGTGACACCATGGCACTCTACCTAGGGCGACAACTTGAGACTCTATCTCAGAAAAAAAAAAGGCATGAGGCTAAATTCAGAGCTCAGACAATAGAGATTCAGTGTCCCCAGGACATCCCGTTATTTTCCACCTGGTTCTTCCATAGAGAAGCAACATAGTGCAAAACAACTCTGGTCCCAGCCCTGTGACCTCTGAGGGCTCTATCTGTCAGGCACTGAGGGAGTTTGGCTAAACTCCAGGGGGTAAGCTTAGCCTGTTCTTCAAAATTTGAGAGCTAAGTCTGTCCCTGGTGGGGAACTTTGGGGCCCCCAGGCATCCCTGACAGGACAGATACCTAAAGGTCTCAAGCTACAACTTCACTCCCTGCTCAGTGCTGGAGTATTCCAAGAAAAACCTCATGAGTTCAGGGCCAAGAGCCAGAATCTACTAAAAGGGCTTGAATGGATAATGGCTGCCTTCAGGTCCTGCTTCTGGAACTTGCCCAGAGCACATACTCCTTGGGGCATGTGAAAGAGAGGCCTCTCCCAGGAGGAGGTCTACTCTGGAGCTATGCCTTGGTAGGTTTCCTTCATCCATGAAGGGGGATTTCTCTGGGGACAAAGGATACACTGTCTGAGTCAACACAAATCAGGAATCTGAGTCTGCCAGTCCAAAAGGCAGATCTGCACACTGGTCAGCTCACCACACTGGTGACACTTCCCCACCCCCCAGGAACCCTGGGACACACGCAGGTAATAATAGCAGCTGCCACCGCTGCAGCAGCACCCGATTGCTGAGCACAGGCTGAAGTGCTGGGGCCTGCGCTCAACACATTTTCATGACCCCATAAACCAGGTACTAGTATTTTCTCTAATATT